ACTCTGAGTTGAGTAATAATATAAGTGAAAAGGGAAGCACATCTCCTGATCACATCTACCAGAAGGAAATCAGATAGTTTAATACACCAACATACATTTATCTAATTATTGAAAATACATCTAATTATTGAAAATGCCCAAAAATCAGCAGAAGATCTCAGCTCATGTCCAGAAACAAGATAGAATAGCTGAAACAAATTAGATGGAGATAGACTTAGACTTTCCAGTGGAAGGAAGGCATGCTTTGGAACTGCTCAAAAAGGATATCACAAAAATAATATTGAGATGCATCAAAATGCTCCACAGAGGGGTTGAGAAAAAGAAGAAAGAAGTCAGGAAAGTGCTACAGGAACAATCAAATAAGATAGAAATAATATTGAAAACAATTCAAAACCTGCAAAAAATAGGTCCAAATGATTAATAATAAAATATCAGAAATGCACAATACACTGAAAGGGCAAAGGAGTAGAAATGAAAAGACGGAAGCCAAACCATCAAGCTGGAATAGAAATCTCTTAATACTTCTAAAATAGAAGAGCAAGCAGAAAAAAGAATTTTAAAAATCTGAAGAAAGTCTAAGAATTGTGTGGGACAACATGAAGACGAATAACTTGAAGGTTATTAGAGTTATGGAACAGGAAGGATCACAGGAGTCCACAGAGGACATAGTTAAAGAGCTTCTAGAAGAAAATTCCCCTAACATCCTGAAAAAGAAAAAGATAAACATTCAAGAAGCTGAATGAACCCCAGGAAGGATAGAACCCCAAAAGAAAATCACCAAGACATATCATAATCAAGCTCTCTAAAATCAAAGACAAGGAAAGAATCCTGGAAACAGCAAGGGGAAAATGTGACTTACAAAGGCAAGCAAATAAGATTAAGCTCTGATCTCTTAGCAGAAGCCCTGCAGGCAAGAAGGCAATGGGAGACATATATAAAACCCGGAGAGAAAAAACTGCCAACCAAGAATCTTCTACCCAGCAAAGCTGTCAATCAAATATGACAGTTTAATCAAAGCATTCCAGGATAAACAGAAGCTAAGGGACTTTATCAAAGCTAACCAAGTGCTTTAAAATATCCTAAAGGGAGTTCTTTGGACTAAGAACCAACAAAAATAGACAACAACCAGAGATTGACAGACATGGCAGCACCATCCACAACTCAATCAATAAATATATGGAAGAGTCCAGAAGAGAACAAATTTAGATGATCAACAAAATTACAATGAGAAAGAAAGTAGAAATATAGGTATAAAGATCCAGGTGATGAAGAGATCAGGTAGATTTCAGGATAAAATAGACTGCTTTAAATGAAGGAAAATGTTAATAGAATATAGGGTAACCTCAAGGAAAATTAATCCTTCACAACATACCAAGAAAATGAAAATCCCAGAAGAACATGGAAACATTAAAACTATAAAGAAACTGATAGAAAAAACACAAAAACATGAATTCCGCACAGGAAGGCAGGTATAACAAAGAAACCAGCAGCACTGCAAAACAACAAACATAATGACAGTAATTAACTCATACCTATCGATAATTACACTGAATGTCAATGAGTTAAATGCACCAGATCAACAATGGCAGAATGGGTAAGAAAACAAGATCTTTCAATACACTGTCTTCAAGAGACAGATTACACACAAAGACAAAAACAGATTGAAAGTTAAAGGATGGAAAAAATACACCAAGCAATTTGCAATAAAAACTGAGTAGGAGTAGCAATAATAATCTCTGACAAAATAAACTTTAAGGCAAAAGCCAGCATAAAAGATAAAGGACATTATCTCATGATTAAAGGGTCAATTGAACAAAATGACATAACCTTAATAATATCTACACTCCCAATGAAAGAGCCCCAAAATATATAAAGCAAACCCGAATAGAATTGAAGAAGGAAATACACAAATCTACAATAATAGTGGGTAATTTTAGTACACCACTTTCAAAAATGGATAGAACAACCAGAAAGAAACTCGACAAAGACACAGAGGAACTAAACAACATAACCAACTTGTACAGAGTCTACAAACCAACAACAGCACAATACCCATTCTTTTCCAGTGCACATGGAACATTCTCCAGAATAGACCATGTGTTAGGCCACAAAACAAGCCTCCATAAATTTACAAGTATCAAATTACTACAAAGCATCTTCTCAGATCACAATGTTATAAAATTAGAAATCAAAAATAGGAAAACCAAGTAAATAAAGTCAAATACATGGAAATTGAATAACATCCTGCTTAAAAGCTTCTAGCTAGTAGAACAAATAAAATGTGAATCCACTAAATTCATAGAAACAAATGAGAGTGAAAACATCACATATCAGTCTTTGAGACACAGCAAAAGCAGTGTTGAGGGGACAATTTACTGAATGCGGACACAAAAGCAATCAATGTAACATTAAAAAAAACAACACAACAAAAAAAAACCCTCATTCTGTCAGATTGGAAAGGAGTGATAATGATAAAAATACTAGTGAGAATTATGTAACTATAACCTAGATGAGAGGATGGAGGCCTCGACTGAGATGACACCTCTGAGGATGCAGAGAGAAATAAGCCAACTTTTGAAATATTCAAATATGATTTCAAGGAGAACAACACATGAGGGGAGAATAGTCAAATATTTAGTGTAATATTTCTTCTTTCTGCTTTTTAGTGGCATTCAAATGATCAGATATTTTTGTTAAGAAAGAAAATGAGTAAAGAGAGAAAAATAGCATTGTCATATAATGAAAAATATGACATATATTGTAGTTTTATATTGTCAAAACTGATTCATTTTTATTTTAGCTTCATCTTGATTTTATACTGATCTCTGGGGAATGTTGTAAGATGGAATACTGTGTGACACGTGTCTGTCACTGACATATAGTTTAATGAAGCATTTTATTCTAAATGATATACCGTGGGTGAGGTGAGAAGAGAAATGTTTTCCCAGAGACATACGGGTATAGCTTTTGGATGATTAGCCCTGAAAATCATCCAAAATAAATTTGTACTTAATAAACACAAGAAAACCAGATGCCGGATTTAATGGGAAGTCACAAAGTGGTATGACAAAGGTGAATTTAACAGAGCTGAAAGGGCCAGTAAATAAAATGTGCAGTTGCTGATAAGGGTTTTGTATATTGTTAGAGCTGCAGACAACTGCTTTATTGAGAGCAAGAATTTTAAGGGTTATAATCATGGAATATGATATTTCATGAGGCTCAGAAAGGTTTAAAAGCAGAAGTTCCAGCTTAAAAAACAAAGTTGGAAGCAGATATTTTCTGGGTCCTGATATTTTGTTCACCAGTGGAAACCTCAAATTGCATTCTATAAGGAAATTATTCTATAATTTCCAGTGCCCCTTAACAATGTTCCTTTGATTTCAAGAACAGGATCATCAGAGCTATAACACACCCTGGCACAACTGTATATGTGGAGGATAGGCTGTTCTAGGGTGCCTGGAGGGGGTGTGGAAGAAGGGGCAGGGGAAGAGTCCCTCTCCGGAGTAACATACACACTTCATTATTTATTCCCAGAAAAAAAGATGTAGAAGCGGGAATATAAATATGATTTTTTGTTGTTGTTAAGTGCCCACAATTTGGTTCCAAATCATAGTGATCTTGTGTAGGGTTTGAACCGCTGACCGTGTGATTTGCAGTTCAGTGCTGATCTTACCACACCACACCAGGGATCCATAAATATGATACCAATACCTATAATAAAGTTCTCCAATGGACACTGCTATTTGTATATTCACTTTCTTTCATGCAACACTCTCTTTCAGTTAAACACTTAACTGAGATCAATGATTCTATGGACAATGAGTTCTGCTGAGTGGAATGGAGACACAAGATTAATAAGATGGAGGCTCTGCTCTTCTTGAATTAAGCTAAGAATGACAGCAGTCTCCATCAAGAGTTAGCTATTTAGTCAGCATTTTGCATAATTATCTTATTTATTCCTCTCCTCTACATCAAAGCAAAGGCATTATCTTTGTTATTTGAAAGATGGCGAAACTAGGATTCAAAAAGGGTAAAGTATTCAAGCTCATGTGTCTGGAAAAGTTGTTCATCCAGGATTTTGTCTCCTCTATTGGAGTCCTGGTGTGGCACTGTGGATTAATGCCCCAGACTGCAAAGCCATTTGAACTGCAAGGTTGGCAGTTCAAGCTCACCAACTGCTCCTCAGAAACCCTATACAGGGTCGCTATGCGTCGGAACCAACTCGACAGCACTTAACAACAACAACAGCAACAATAATTCTGGTCCCGAAGGAGCTCTGGTAGAGTAGTGGTTACGAATCGGGCTGCAAGCTGCAAGGTCAGCAGTTCAAAACTACCAGCTATTCCGTGGGAGAAAGATGAGGCTTTCTGCTCCTGTAAAGATTTACAGCCTCAGAAACCCTGTACAGGGTCACTATAAGTTGGAATCGACTCCACGGCACATCACCACCACCACCATTCTGGTCCCAAATAGTGCTAGTGACAAATTGGGTCAAAAGTTGGTCTGCTAACCTTAAGGTCAGCAGTTCAAATCCATTAGTAACTCTGCAGGAGAAAGATGAGGCTTTCTATTTCTATAAAGATTCACTGCCTCGAAAATCCTACACAGGGTCACTATGAGTTGTATCAGCTCAATGATGCATAACAACAATGATATAATATTTTTGTGTGCCCAGTGCTGTTCTAAATATTTAACATGTTTTAATCCATTTCATCCTCACAGCAATGCCATGAGAGAGATGTTAGTATTATTTCCATTTAAAAGATGGGGAAACTGAGGCATAGAAAGATTAAATAATTTGCCTAAAGTCACACAATCAATAAACGACAGAATTGGAATTTGAACCCAGGAAGCTGGCTCCAGCTGTTATTAACACACTCTGCCATTTCTTTCAAATAAAAGCAAGCAGTGAGGACTAACACACTCCTCCTTCCTCTCTCTCTCTCTAAGCTCCATCTTTTCTGTAGCTACAGTAAGGTCTGCCATTTTTAGTCATTGCCATGCAGCTCTTTGTATATGCCCAGGAACTACATACCCTGGAGGTGACTGGCCAGGAGATGGTCCACCAGATCAAGGCTCATGCAGTCTCGCTGACCCTACTTCCAAAGTGGCCCTGTCCACTCTGGAAGTAGCTGGCCTCATACTTGGAGGCAAAGTCCATGGTTCCCTGGCTTGTGCTGGGAAAGTGAGAGGTCAGACTCCCAAGGTGGCAAAACAGGAGAAAAAGAAGAACAAGACTGCCGGGCCAAGAGACGGATGCAGTACAACTGGCATTTCATCACTATTGTGCCCACCTTTGGTAAGAAGGGCCCTAGTGCCAACTCTTAAGACCTGTAACTTTGGCTTGCTGCTAATAAAACCATTTAGCCCCAGCCAAAAGAAAAAAAATACAAGGCCAACAAGGGAGTGATTTCTCAATGCTGTAAAGTAAAAAAAAGTCTATGGATGATCAATTGTTTGGGGGAAAAATGCATTTGAACTGGGATTTGAAGACGAGATAGGGTAGACTTGTGTGCTTAGGGGAGAATTGGGAGGTTCCAATGGAATAAATTTTACCTGTATGGATTTACTGTATGGATTACTGGTAGCGTAGTGGTTACGAATCGGGCTGCGAACCTTAAGGTCAGCGGTTCGAAACTACCAGTTGCTCCGTGGTAGAAAGATAAGGCTTTCTACTCCTGGAAGGATTTACACCCTCAGAAACCCTGTACAGGGTCGCTATGGGTCGGAACCGACTCGACGGCACTTAACAACAACAACAACAACCGTATCTTTATTTTTTATATGTGGGGTTGTTTCCTTTGTAGCATTCTCTGGTTGGCAATTATGGAGTCTCTGAGTTGTGTAAACAATTAAGCACTAGACTACAAATCAAAAGGTTGGCAGTTCAAACCAATTCATAGGTGCTAAGGTATCCTGGTATGGTGCTGTGGGCTAATGCATCAAACTGAAAAGTTTTTTGAACTGCAAGGTCGGTGGTTCAAACTCACCAACTCCTCCTTGGAAACCCTATAAAGGGTCACTATGGGTCGTTTTCTACTCGATGGCACTTAACAACAACAACAATGATAGTTAAGGTTTTGTGTCAACTTGGCTAATATAGGGTTCTAAGTGGTTTGGCAGTAGAGGTGTAGCAATGCCTATGATGAGACATAATGTAACATAATTAACTCTATGAAGAGGTCTGCTATGAGCAGTCCATCAGTTGAAAGGAAGTCTCTTCTGAGGTGTGGTCTTCTTCTAGTAGAAGACTCTCAGGCAAATCTTGCTTGATTTTTGCTGGATATGGATCTTATCTTGCATCTGGCTGGTCTTCCAACCTTAGGTTCTTTGTATATGAGCCAGTTACCTGCACTATTTCCTGACAATCCTAGGAGACCTCAGCAGCCTGTCTTCATCCCTGTTGGATTTACTTACCTGCCAGGCCTGCCTTCCTGATGAACCTACCTGCCTGCCATTTGACCTGCCAGTCTTGGTTCTTCTATGCTAGACTTGGGACTCTCTTACTTCTACATCTGTGTGAGTCATCTCCTTTATATATGGTGGTGGTGGAGGTGGTGTGCCATAGAGTGGATTCTGACTCACAGCAAACCTGCATAGGGTTTCCAAGGCTGTAAATCTTTATGGAAGCAGAAAAGCTCATCTTGCTCCTGCAGAGCAGCTGGTAGTTTCAAACTGCTGACCTTAAGGTAGCAACCCAACATGTAGCCACTATGCTACCAGAGCTCATTTATATGTATATATTTAAATTTCACTGCTTTTGCTTTTCTAGAAAATTCAGCCTTAGACATTTGGTCCCAAGAGTTATTCTAGAGAATGAAATGAAATACAATAGGGTGAGTATAAAAACAATGTTCTCCCATGCAAACTATCACACAATTCACAATACAAACTTAAAAAAAGAGCTGTTCTAGAGAAACAAAATCTTACAAAGATAGGGTTTCTAAATTAATTCTCAAGTTTTAATGGCACTTATAACTATGCTTCTGTTACTAAAGAAGGTGCAGCTAATCCTTGGTATGAGGTGGTCATGTTTATAGACAAAAATATCACCAGCTGTCAATCAAATATTGGTGACAAGCAAGATTGGGTAATAATGTGTTTGATACTTTTCTGCAATTTTGTCAGGAAGAGAAGTATAGGAAAGCTGGTTGATTGGTGTCGGGGACCTGCCTCGACAGGGAAGTTTGGTTCACGAAGTAGGGAGATCTGGCGGCGAAAGAAATAGAGAAAGAATATACACAAAGACACGACGAGAGAAACAAAGAGACACTCCAAGACCAGAGTGGATGCAAAACTGGCAGGCAGACCCTGCATTGCAAGCAGCATGGCTGTAAAGCTTGGCCCTGCAAGCAGCAATGCATGCAGGATTCAATCTGCATCTGTCTTTTATTTCAGGGAGGGATTTTACACAAAGGAAGAAGGGGATAATTAAGACAGGGTACAGTAATGAAATGTGATTAATCGTTCAAAATAGGACACAATAATTTACAGGAACAAATTCTAAAATATACATCACAAATTGTCTTAATAATCTAACATTCTTAATTTTCCAAAAATTCAAGCAAATTGTTATAAATTACTTTTTAGGCTCAAATCCTAAGGCAGCGACTCGAGGTTTCTCAAGGCTAATTAACATACCTATAGGAGCTCTGGTAGCACAGTGGTTACTAGTCGGGCTGCGAACCTTAAGGTCAGCGGTTCGAAACTACCAGCCACTCCGTAGGAGAAAGATGAGGCTTTCTACTCCTGTAAAGATTTACACCCTCAGAAACCCTGTACAGGGTCGCTATGGGTCAGAACCAACTCGACGGCACTTAACAACAACAACAACATAGCACTTAATCTCTAATGGGTAAAGGAGAAAAGGATTTAAAAGGTCTGAAGAGAGTCAAGCTGTTTCAGCTACCTGGCTTAGGCTTTCAGGAGGAAGAAGGACATCTGAGTTAATGGTTTACACCTGGGGACGATTTGATGAGGTTGCTACTATTATTCCTTGAACAATACTCCAGAATTCGCCAATCTTCTTTGAGTGAATTCCCTGGGCGGATTGTCTCCAGAGCCTCTTTGGGGAATCCCAGAAAACTTGCCTTTGGAACTTTTACGGCCTCCGCTTTAGAAAGGGTTTTGGTTTTAATATGGTGCATGAATATCAAGAGCTCATGTATTAAATTAATATCAAACATAACTGAATAATTTGATAAAGAACAGTTTGGACATGCTTGCCAGGTGGCCAGAGTTTGTTCCTCAGAGAGATTTGTTCCCAGGACCCTACGCACTGCCAACACAGTGGAGACATTAAGAGAGGCACATAAGAAACCATTTTCTCAGAAGCTACAATTACTGGAGTTAGAAGCATAGAATGAATAATAAGACCAAAGAAAATTATACAGAGGTAGCCCACCAGTGAGTTTGTAAAAGCCTATGAATCCGGGACGTCAGGAGGACACTTCTTGGCCCTCAGGGTCCATGGCTGGCAATCCTGAGTGGGGCCTTCGTGTTGGATTTTTGTCCATGACACAGGGCCTCAGCATCCCAGTGCTGGCGGTCCCCAACAGATTGGTCCTACTGACAATAGACCAACTGGTAAAGCAATTCATAAAATATCTCTAAGTTTCCACTTGCCCTGAAAGAAGGCCTTATTTCTTCTAGTAACAGAGCTGATATTGCTGAAAACCAAACTCAGATTCTTTTAAGAATGACTGATTTACAATGTCAACTGAATTTCCGATCTTGATTAGTGCCTGATATTAAAATGAGGGCATTGCTTGGAAAGAAATAGGGTATGGAAACTTGGCATAGGGACTATGGGCAGATAATTTGGAAGCTGGGAACACTGAGCCCCTAAATTCTGTCAAATTACTCTTGCCAACGGCACCACCCTTCCCTCATGATCAGATAATTTACATCTTTCTCTGCTTGTCCATTATCAGTAAAGCCATTATCTCCACTATCCACACTCAGTGAAATTAACACAACTATGCAGGCTGACATGATGCCTGAAGACATTGCCTAGGGTGGATGTCTTGCAAGATATTGCTGAATGTTCCCAGGAAAACAATTATTGCTTTGAGATCTATAACTAGGCTTAACTCTCAGCAAGTCCCCAAAAAGCTGAAGTACAAATTGTGAACCAGGAATAAGCACGCTACACTCAAAGAGAACTGCTTGATTTTTCTAATATGTACAAACAAAAACCTGGAGACTAATTGTGGGAATGGCTTATTAATGGATGTTTGCATCTGTTTCTCCTCATTTTGAGTTGTGCCATCAGCAAATGAAAGTCCTCACTGTTGTGGTAAAAGGTGTGTCCTTTGGACATTCCATGTGAGGTTTTATGGATCCATCCTGATAAATCCACTATAACATGTCAATTTCCCAAAGCCTTTGGATTCCTTCCTTTACAGAATACTAAGGCAAGTCTGGTTCTTCAACTTGATGTACTTCAACTGTACAATCCATGTTTCAGTGAACTAACTTAATAAACTATTAGATCTTCTCCTATCATCTTGAGCTGAAGTATTGGGTGAAGAATCTGTTTAGTTGGTCCATACCACTAAACTCAGCCTGATGCAACTTTATGTTTCTTGTGCCAATATTCCACACCTTTGTGCAAGGAACACTCCTCGGTACATTTCCTGCTATCATCATCTTTCCTCTGTCAACTTCCCTCTTGTGTATTGCCCTCTCCATCACTCATATTAACCTATGTTAACCTACCTAACATATGTTTACCCTCTAGCCTGTGAATAATTCCCTCTCCCCAACCTCCCAGTAACTGTCATAGAATGTTTCATGCAAAAACATTTACAACATAAAAGGCAAATATACACATAGGCCTTGCCAGATGGAATACACAGGGGTCAAATCATCTACATCCATTAAAAAAGATGATGCGGTATCTCAATACAGTAAGCCAAAGCAAGGCCAAAGACCAATTGTGAAATAGGGATGGTTGTAAGTCCACAAATTTTAAGAGCAAGCAATGGGAACAAAATGGTAAACACAATGAAAAGCAGAAGACAAAGTCCAAGGATCTTTTCTTGCCCATGATCTTGTGGTGAGTTGTTTGCCTCTCACACAGTCATCTGCTTATGGCTGTTGGACTGGGTGAACTTAAAGTTTGAGCCAGTCCATTGGTTAAGTCAATTCAGTCTTCTTTAATTGTTGTAGTTAAGTGCCTTTAAGTTCATTCCTACTCACAGTGACCCTGTATAGGGTTTCCGAGGACTGCCTCACTGTATAGGTGAGTCCTACTGCCAACTTTGTGGTTGAAATGGACCTTGTGGTCTAGTGTTTATCCTACCACATCATACCAGGCAACATTT